TCTTTGTGTAGAACCCGTGCTACTACTAAGTTAATATTAGTAGCGCGTGTGTCCCAAGACATACTATTACTAATGATAGACGGCCCAGCTAGTGGGCCCCACTTAGTAGTAGCATGCATGTAGGAGGCCACGCTACAACTAATGGGCTTAGTAGTAGCGTGGTGCTGGTGCCCCGTGCTACTACTAAGTTCCACTTATTACGAGCAGCCGCCCGTTCCCATCCCACACCTCTCTCAGCACGCACACATTGCCGCCGCCGCCCTGGACCTGCCCGCCGAGGTAAATCTCCTCCCTCCTTCCTCCTCCCTCTCCCTTTCGAAGCAGGCGCTTGGTGTGCACTCTCCGGAGCACTGCTGCGGGCTGCTCCCTGGTGTTTGCTCCGGTGCACAGCTCCAACGCCGTCTACCAAATCAGACACCTCAAACATCCGCGAACATGTCTGGACATGTCCGTGGATAGCGGTAGGGAGCCCTTCATCCAACTACACCAAATGTGTCATTACGTCTATATGTGCAAACGCCGTAAATTTTTCCTACTGTCGATGCAAGTGTGAGCCTGTGGTGTAGCGATGCATGTGTGTGTGGTCATTGGTGTGGTGATGCATTTGTGCGTGGTAATGAGTTTACCATTGGTGTAGCGATGCATGAGTTCCTATGTTATGTGAGGAAGTTGATTAATTTTCATTCCGGCAAATTTCGGGCACTTTATATGTCTTATTTTTAGCAAAGCTCATGAGAAAAGTTTTCAGTGGATGATGAAGTTTGGAACTCATGAATTTAATTTGTTATGTCATTATTCGATATATGTAATGTTGATGGATGCTAAGGGTTGACTTTCAGTCTGATGGGGCTCCATGTGTGATAGATTCATGTTCTTGAAGGAAGATTTCCGACTGTTGTTGTGGGGGTCGCTTCTCTTTATTCTCCTTATTCTAGACCTTGGTAAGAGCATCTCCAGCCGCGCCCCCAACAGGCCGCCCACAACTGTTTTTTTGCCGCCGGCGCCAAAAAAACGACCCAGTCACGCCCCAAGGTCCAGGTTTTTACTGGTTTGGGCCGAAACTGGCGTCGGCGGACACAGGCCGAACCCGGCGCGCTAGGGAGGCCTAGGGGCGCCGGGGAAAGCGATTTGGCGTGAACGGGGATGGGCCTGCCTAGTCAGCAAGACGCCACTTTGTCGCCCTCATCGCCTCGGTTCCCGCGGAAATCAATGCCAAGGCTGCGACGCGGCAGCGCCGGTCAGCCTCCATTGATGCCTCACGGGCGGCGCAGTGAAGGCGCCACCGATGTGCTTCCCGCCCGCTCCCGCCACGCGTCGCCTGGCATGCAAGCTCACCGCCCCCGGCTTCAGCTATAAGAGCCGTCCTCCCCGCCGGTGGACGCCACAATCAGCAAAGCTCGCCTTCCCTTCCCCCTCAGAGCAACTCTCCCCCTCTTCCCCGCCGACGAGCAACGGTTGAGAGGTACCCCGACGATGCCGCGGGGGTGAACGGCTTTGGCCGACGCCATCTTCACGAGGACGAGGCGCGCCTCCTCTACGAGGCCGACTACCCGGCGCCCCCGGACATCTGTCGGGCTCATGGAAGCTCGGCGCCGGCGGCGTTCCGGTACCGCCGGTGCCCGAAGGGGCTGCGCGGCGGGCCGAGATCGCCCACATCCGCTCGGCGCTGCTGGAGGAGCAACGGAACGAGCCGAGATACGCCGTCGACAGCCACATGCTGTGGACAATGTTCTTCGAGCGGCGCCGCGAGGAGCAGATCGCCTACGCCAATGGCACCATCCCCCGCGGCCGCCTCAACGCCGAAGGGCGGCGTGAGTGGTGGAGCGTGCCGGGCCGCACTCTCGAGGCCGTCCTCGACCACATCGACACCGGCAGCACGCAGCGCCTCGAGTACCCGCCGCGCCCATCATTCTCACGCCGCCGTGGCAGCTCCTAGACGCTGCGACGAATGGAGCCTGGGACGTCCTCCTCATCGGGCTCCGGCTTGCTATCCTCCGGCTCGCCGGCTCTCCGCCCCTCAAGCCAGAGCCGAAGGAGGAGACGCCGCTACGTCGCCGCACCCGCAGCGGTGCCCTCGTCATCCACGCGGGCGCCCGCTCCTCCCTGCGCTCTCTTTGCCTGGTCCGGCGGAAGACCGAGTCGGGGCTGCT